CACAAGATGTATTTCATATAAGAGATATACCATTGGTACGAACGCGAAAACAAGTTCCCCCGAATTGCACAATTACGAGAAACAGAAATAGAAAAGTTCGGAACCACATTCAAAATAAATCATCAAATGATATTTACGATGATAGACCTGTAACCCACACGCCTTCATCAGCTTCGTGCTTCATTTGCGGTTCCAAACCATCTCAAATGAACAACTTAACAGAAATTAATAAAAGGTCTAGCAAAGAAAAGAAACACTCAAATTAGGAATGTCACCCTTGCACGCACGAATCAAATTCATGGAATGTATATTACATATTGCCTACAATTTGTCTTTCAAGAATAAGTGGTCAACAACGCCAGAAACATGCGTTCAAAAAGAAGAAACAAAAAAAAGAATACAAGACGCTTTTTATAATAAACTTGGACTGAGGGTAGACATCGTTAAACAAGGTTCCGGATCATTTAATGACGGAAATACTTCTCGACGATTTTTTTGCTGATCCAAAAATCACAGCAGAAATAACTGGAGTTGACGAGGAATTGATCAGAAGATTTTCCACAATATTAGAAACGATTAATTGTGGTGAAGAAATAAATTCAGAAAAATTCGGTTCTTATATGCGTACAAGGCAGCGGAAATATTTATTGGAAAATATTCTTGGTACTTTATGCCAATTACCGTTCATAAAATTCTTCTTCTTCACGGTAAGGAAATTATAGAAAATGCCTCGGAAAATGCGGCGTTACCCGTTTGGGACATTATCGGAAGAAGCTCAAGAGACAAGAAATAAGGACTATAAACGATATCGACTTAATCATATAGTAGAAAATGTAGCCGTCTGTTTACAAATGAAGATGTTATGCATATGATGCTCGTGTCATCCGATCCGTTAATAACTATAGTTTAAGAAGTAAACCACATAAGCGATGAGACGCAAGAATTACTTTGCTCTTATACGTAAATTAAATGTAAATTGAAATTTAATTTTTAATAAATATACATTTTTGCAATTTTTATAAGTCAACATTGAAAGGTTCTATGATCATTCATTGCATATTTCACAAGTAACATAATTTTTTCCGCGATTCGCGCAAACGGCTCCACTGTGCGCCGGGGCCGCAGCATATCCCCTCTAACTGGCTAGTTCGGACACGAACCATTAGCACGGACGCAAACCATGTGCGGTTACCGAGCGAAACGACGTAGTTGAGTTGCACTTTCTCAGGCGGGGCGTCGGAAAATGCGACACAGAAAAATTAACGAAAAATGCCGGAATGGCCTCTCTCAGGTTTCTCTCTGCTACTGCTATTGTAGATCGGGCATAAGACTAAATGATAATGCGTATCAAACAGAGTAATTGAGCGATAAATCGGCCTGTGTTTTGCGTATTTTGCGAAACGCGGAGGCGCAGTTTTTATTTTCTCCTCCCTCGAATTCTCGATCGTGTCGCGCGTTTCTACACCCGCTTCGCTCACTTCGCTGCACCAGGACCAGGCTGCACTCGTCCGTGACGTCAGTGCAATGGCGACTCTCATGGAGACGATGTTGGCATGCCGATTAATTCTCGCGTCGTTATCGCGGAATTGCGAGCGTGTCATTCCCGGCGCGATTGCGGTCTCGAAAAGGAGTTACTCGAATACCGCGAAAAATGAGGAGACCTACGACGTCGTCGTCGCTGGAGGTGGCATGGTTGGCACGACGTTGGCATGCGCCATAGGTTAGCTTTTTATCAACACAATCAGTTTGTGTATAGCAGATGGTCAAGAAAAAGTGTGGGAACCACTGACAGAAGTCTATCAGGTTGTTCAAAGAAATTTAAGAAAATTATTTAAGAAGTCTAATTAAAAAGAAAAATTTTTTAAACTAAATTTTAGTGATAAAATTAGGATACACAAAGCTGTCTTCTTTTTTAATTAAAGACCTCTCAAGAATTTTATTAAATTTCTTAACAAACTTATAGATTTTTAAAATAATTTCCATTTTTCTTACAAAAAATCATTACCTGTTAAAACAACAAACTATTCTAATACCATATGTATCAAAATTGCCATTAGCAATTATTAATTAATGGCATTATTTTAATTGTTGCAATTATTTTCAAGTATTCTGTGAGACAAAAAGAACTTTGAACATATATCCTTTAAAACTGAAGGCTACGTTTTATCTGTGGTTTTGTTATGCTTTCTGCATCCAAGATATATGAGGCAAGTATATGTTTGTTTGTTTCAGCAAATAATCAAAGACTAGCGAACAAAAAGATCTTACTTTTGGAGGGTAACACTAAACAGGAATACACACCGCAGGAGCAATACTCCAATCGAGTTGTCGCATTGAATCAGCAAACTCGTATCTTATTATCCAGTATAGGAGCATGGAAACACATAGAGGCAATCCGCTGTTCTCCAGTAAGAAGAATGCAGGTAATCCTTTACATTCCTTCTTTGCTATTTTAGAATTAATTACATCGTTAAGTTACTAAGTTTGCATTAATAATATAAAGATAATTTCTACTTATAACTGTTGATCTTGATACATTACATAGCTAATAGTCAATTATGATTAAAATGCTGTAGTTAAAATGTAATCTTTAGGGTTCTGATTTTTGTATAGTTTATGTTTATATATGGTACTGTTTTATAAAATTAGAGAATCTATGACATTTAGATATAATTTTTTTTACAATAGGTGTGGGAAGCATGTTCCGATGCTATGATAACGTTCGACGAGGATTTGTTGAACAATAATCTAGCCTATATAGTCGAGAATGACCTATTGTTGCACGCGGTCAACAAGCAGCTTTCTGAAATGGAAAATGTTACTGTAATTTACGATTCTAAGGTTGTCAATATAAAACTTCCAAAGACATCCATGGAGTTTGTCACTGTACAGCTGCAATCTGGGGAGCAATACAGGACTAGGTTACTGGTAAGGACTAAATAAAACTACATTAGATTTTTATACAATTTTCGAAATAGATATATGTGTGTGTATGTAGATTGTCGTTGAAAATATGCGGCTCGTTAGAGTCATATCTCTATTAAATTATTATTAGGCTCTGACAACTTATATCTCTTTCACCTCAAGTTCGTGCTTCTTTTTTGCTTTTTTTTTTTTTTTTTTTTTTTAACAATTCGAAATGCTTGATGAGACAATAATTAGGCAACATTAATGTAAGTGCATCGACATGCCCAAGTCCCTTGCGATATTCTCCACCTTATCGGTCAAGTTGTCCAGCCTTGTGCTGATGTTGTACGAGCATCTTTTCAACTCAACTGCCAGCTCGTTCAGCTGCTGCTGGCTCTCGTTGCTGTACATCCTGCTGAGCCTCGCGTGACTCGAATCTGCTGTGGACGCATTTGCATTTCGCGACAGTGGCGGCACGCCGCCTCTGAACGTCGCTCGCCGCGTTTTCCTCTCGCTGACCAGACGATATATCGCTCGGATAAGATCTCGTGGTAAACGTTTTTCGCGCGGATCGTTCGGCCGAATGTGCAAGGCGCAGTGATACGGCGGATGTAATAGCAGAGCGCCTCTTCTACACGCCCGTATTATCCTGCGTGCCGGAGCGTGATCCAAAAGCTTGGAGAACAGCATATTCTCGAGATGAGCAACGAGCTCGGCACGACGTACTAGTCGATCAAGGCCGGCGCATCTGCGAAGCTCTTGGATATCCGATACGGCTAGACCAACCATCAGATTCGTCAGAATCACTGTCACTAGAATAACGAAGCCGAGGAGCATCAGGTGGGCCGTACCGGGATACTTGAGCGGCGCTGTTTCGTCGAAGAAGACATCCTCGAACTCGAGTTCACCTGACATCATAATCACCGTCTTGAGTAGACTGACCAATGGATCGGCGAAGGATTTATAATTTTTGTGCAGCACGCTAAAGCCGAGAGAGAAGCCGACTATGAGGCAAACGTAGGCTGCAAGAAACTTGAAGAAGTTGATGGACACTTGGGTGAACATCTGTACGTAGATACCGAACATGGGAAAGCGACCGACCACCATCATCAACTCGATCCAGACCAGCAGGACACCCAGGGCAGCAACGTGATGCTGCCAAGTATATACCGACGGGATCAGGATGATGCCAGAAGCCATGATCACGCTCCACTGTAGCCAGTTCTCCCAGCGTCTGGCGTATGAGCAGATACCGTGGGCGACTTGAAAGAGTTCCTTGCAGGCGAGCACGCAGGTGAATATCAGCACCAGCCAGAGGAGAACATTACTGAGCCGTTTTACTTGCCAAAGATACGTTGCTCCGATATACCCGGTGAAGAGGGCGACGAAGATCGAGTGAAACATCAAGCTGAGGAGGAAGAATTTGCGGATACGCAGCCACTTAAGATAGAGAAAGCTCTCGCACAACGGGTGCTTCAGCACATGACCCTGACCAACCTCCACCAGGCAGAGCATCAAATCCGTCTCGCCGCGACCGCCTGGCACCAACGGCCGGAAGTCCAGCCGTAGCTCACAGTCCACGTCGCCCAATTCATGATCGTGCAACGAGATCGCCTGATCAAAGCGCGCCACAAAGCGCGGCAATACATCCGGAGTGCGACGTATAATAAAGCTAAGGGCAGAAACGCCGCCCTTGGTGCGCGCCGTCACATCAGCACCCTTCGCCAGCAGCATCATCACCGTGGGCGAACTCTCATTCAGGGCCGCGATATGCAACGGCGTGTAGCCGAACTTGTCCGCCTTGTTGACCGAGGCGCCTGCCTTTTGAAGGAAGAAAACTTCTATTATTTTCGTGTTGTTACTTTTAATTATTATTGTCTATTTCTTTTGCAAAACTCTTTTATTAGAATATAATTTATTTAATCTTTTTTATTGACGCAAATTTAAAATATTATTAGGATTATTTTTTGTTCAAGGAAAATTTTCAATTAAATTGCGAACCTGTATTAAAGTCCTGACCAGTTCGCCGCTCCTTAGAGCTTTTGCAACTGCAGCATGTAGAGGAGTTCGCCCGTCGTCATCCTCTGCGTTGACTTTCGCCCCGGCATTTATTAATGCATCTAACGTTTCTACGGATTGAGCAAGCGCTGCTAGGTGCATTGCCGTCTGACCGCGCGAATTCTTTGCTTCCCAGGCCGCACCAGCATTCAACAACAACCTGGTGCACTCTACACTCCCCTCTTCGGCTGCCAGGTGTAGAGGTGTTGACCTCGCGACTCCCAGTTGCACTCTCACATCTGCCCCATGACTCAATAACAGTTTGGTACAATGCACGTTGCCCAAACTAGCCGCCACATGCAAAGGTGTCTCTGTGTAAACCTGCCAACGAATCATATTAATTCATCGAAGAAATATTCGCTCCCGAATCCCGAAGAGACGCGTTACTTTAGTGGGAAAATTTTGATCCGTAGAATTTTATTATTGCTCATGTTACGTTAAACATCTAATGATCCATTACTTTCCGCATACAATTATCTCAATTATCTCGATAAAATTTCACTTTAAGGATTTCTGTTTAGGCATTACTTCCCCACCAAATTCGTGCTTGACACGGTCGTGATAAAGGAGCACCTGTGGATTATTGGGACAAGCACCTGCTTGTAGTAGAGCCTCGACGCAATCTCCGGCGTTGTTTAACACAGCATAGTGAAGCGGGCTTTTGCCGGACAATCCGGCGTCCACGTCCGCACCCGATTTGATCAGGCATTTGACGGTAGCAACGCAACCCGCCGCTGCGGCGCAATGTAACGGGGTGCATTTCTTTCCGAGGTCCCATTTGCGTGGATCGGCGCCGTGCTTCAGTAATTCCTCCACGAGTTTTACAGACGTGGCGCAAGCTGCCAGATGTAACGGCGTTCTAGGTTGTAAAAACGTCATTTTTCGAAAATTAATTGAAGTTGCAGGCTTGCTTGATCAGTTCTAGTCAAGGTATGTCATAGTTAGATATGATAGAATCAGGTAATTTTCGAGATATTTACAAGAGGACACTACGCGCCGCTCTCCGCGGATTTTGATTAAACTTGCAGGTGTTGTAGGAGATACTACGTAATGAATATCTGTAAAGCCGTTTTTCTGAATGGGAGCCGAATTATAAACAATTATAGGTGGATCTTTCCGCTGCGTGCCGCTTACCTTCTACCCTCTCGATTGAAATGAAACTTTGGGAAATTTAAGCATGCTTCAGGATCATTTAAAGCTAATCATATTTGCTGCAAAATTGCCAGGAACACCAGAATTCAAAATATTGGTGGCTTGGTGGAGTCTGCCATCTAAACTAATAATTACGTTTGCATGTATTTCTATGGGTAATGTTTCTGAATGTTTCTACAAAATTGCCCCTGTTTGCAGCAACTAACAACGGCTAAATGCAGCTTTGCTACTTTTCTTACTTATTTATTATCTATAAATTAATTTATTCGTAGTTTTATTTGATTGCTGATTAGATAATAATTATAAGTAACAAATTTTTTTAAACGATTTATACACAGTTTATGTGCAATGTTTCAAGCAAATAGTACTTGAAACAGTAGCACTTTTCACAATTTGAACGGCAGATCCACCAAGCCCTTAACAGTGATTCCGAATTATGCTGCTCCTGGCAATTTTGCAGCAAATCTGAATAGTTTTAAATAATTCTGAAGTATGCTTAAATTATTTCAAAGTTTTATTTCAATCGCGAGGATAGAAGTTAAGCGGCTTAAATATAGATACACAGTGGAAAAATCCACCTATGACTGTTTATAACTCAGCTCCTAGGGCCCATTAAGAAAAAACGATTTTACAAATATTTACTACATAGTATTTCCTACAACTCCTGCAAGTTTCATCAAAATCGATAAAGAGCAGCACTAATGTCTTTTGTTAATAAATTCTCAATAATAATATCTGATTATCGCAAATTATAACTATTATATGTACCTTCCATCGCAATCACATGTGGAAACTGGTGCGCTTTTGTCCAGCAAAACCCTCGCGATCTCCACGTGACCCAACCAACTAGAAATCAATAGACACGTGTCCGGCCATTCTGCAAGTAGCCGACCTGGAGTTGCGGCAGCCGCTGCTCCGTTTTCACTATCTAATAGAGCCTTTCGCATAAACCTGCACGGATAAGCTTATTTTTATTCCTCACTTTTACACCTGATGTAAGACTAAATTTTCGTTGTTGTCATTAAGTACCCATTTGCAAACGTAGGCAACGAGATTTTGCGATGCCTGCAATCCACAGTTTCGTTGAGAGTCAAGTATTTAAATTCCTCTAAAGCCTTTTGTAGAGCGTCATCTTGAAGAGAAGGGATCAGGGAGAGGGCGACTTCGCCCCCTGGAAGATTCGATAGTGCCGCTTCGACTTCCTTCTTGCTCCAAGGTTGCTCCTGCGTCATCGGTGTCGTTGGTATATGGCAGGTAACAGAATCCGAGCTGTTCTCGGAGGAGATGCTGCCACCGTCGATCTCACTCATCCAAATGTCCTCGCGTTCTTCCTAAATTCAGTACGAGCGTTAAGGAAACGTCAGAAGATCATCGATAATCGATCATTATTTCTTTCACTGACTTGGTTGCTGATCACAATAGACGGTGTTCCGTTGTTGGCAGCTTCCATTCTCAGTGTCTCTCGCGTCAAACGATTGCCAGAGAGTCTTTCGAAGAAATTCTTCTTACCGAGAATTGACATAATTATGTCCTCCTTTGGATTCTTAAAGAAATTATCTGAGCCACATGAATGGGCACTATAATAGATACTATAATCACGTAGCGATTCGTACAAAGGGTGGAAAGTATCTTCCCTCGGTCAGCTCAATATCATTCTCGCAGCACACTTTCACACGTACAATAATACATTTATCACTAGACAATACGACAATGATTTTTTCATCCAAGTATTAACTTTGCGATGATGATTAACGGCGAATAACGGGAAACATATCGTTAGACCGGTCGTTTGATGAGAAATTCTCTTGACATTGTAGAATGGATGACTTTCTAATGCGTATCTATCGCTCGCTCTTGTTCGCTAATACTGAACACTTAGTCGACTATTCCGGCTCTCTGTATATCTCAAGATACCCACATGTGTTTATAAAACAGTTATATATTTAGCTTCCATTAATCTTTCGCGGTTCGCTCTCGTTCCTCGCATATCCGGCATGTTTCAACGACGAAGAAGGAGAAGAAGAAAATCCCCGACCGCAGACTCTTTCCCTACTGTCCCGGCGGAAATAATTGTTTTATCAATCAACTCCGGTCATTCCATGCGTAAATACATTCAGTGGAATTCGGTCGATGCATCAATCGATATCATTCAACGAAATCGTCGTTGACGTGTATTTCCTTCTTCTTATAATTAATTTTTAATTAATGAAAGACTCGAGAGAATATGTTTTATAACAGTCTATTTATTATGATTGATCAACATAGACATCTGTTAAAGACAACTTGCATCTACTTCAATTTGCAAAAGAATTTAAAGGAAAAAAAAACACACACACACACATACACAAACTAAAAAAAATAACATTAAATAAACATAATTTGGAAAATAAATTTACGTTATCTTTAATAATAAGGATTAGTAATATAATTTGTTTTAAATAACTACGAGGTTTTGTGCAAGCTTCTGTGAGGTTTTCTAACATATTCGACTGTTATATCAGAATGTAAATAGCACTTTTTGCGGATAATATCTGCAGATTTGTGTATAAACGAAGTAGCGTTTACGACGGAAAACAAGTATAAGACGTTAACCACTCGACGCAGACGATCTCCGACATCTCCGCTGAAATCTGGAATAGCACTGACGTTATTTTCGTACATGTTTGTAAATCTTTGCGCTCGTTTGTCGCAATGCGCATTATCCGCGCTATCCTCGTGCTAATCCAATAATTTTCCTTATAACAACATTTATAATTTTACTTTTAAGACGCGGTTACCGTCAAGCATAAATAAAGCGCTGGATGTGTTCCAGGTGGGCGCCGATGGTGTTAACTCGCTGGTAAGAAAGGCGATGGGGGTGATTTATCTTAACTGGCAATACAATCAATCGGGCATTGTCGCGACTCTCAAGCTGTCTGAGGTAATATTTTTCTTGAAAATATGTAATGTAATACACAGGCACAGAATAAAAATAAGAGATACGGCGGTTTCTCACATTCCAGAAATTATCTATGAGCTACTAAGTTATAATAGTAGTCGTTAATTGATTTCAGCCCACGGAGAACATTGTCGCTTGGCAGAGATTCCTCCCAACAGGACCCATCGCATTGCTTCCGGTAACTTATCAGTCTTTGTACTTATTCGTCTCTTCGCGTGAACAATATCAAAGCCTAAAGAGCGTCTGAACGCTTGGAAAATCTTGCGGGAACATAACAAAATCAATGAAATAAAATTTAAAAAAAGGAATATTATTCCGTGTTATCTTCGGCGTCTTTCAAGAATAATTTATAATAAGATATGCAAAATGGATGTGCATGAAGTCGAATACTTTAAGGATGTATTGCACCTATTTTCAAAGCGCTACCAAGTGGATAAAAATTTGTGAGAATGTTCTTTTAGTCTTCCTGATGTGCTACAAAAAAGTAGAAACGAATCCACTAAACGGTTGCTGAGATATAACGATTTTAATTTTCACTGATTTTACACGTATTCTTATGGGAAGAGACGATTTTGGCGGATAAAACAGCTAAAAAAATGTTGAAGGAGCGCTACCAATATTTTGAATTTTTTTGTACATCATTGTCTTCACTACACCGTTTTAAAAAAATAAATTAATAATTAATGATAATTAATAATTAATTAATTATTAATTATTAATTTTATTAATAATTTGACGTTATAAAGTTGAAATTAGGGTATTTTCACTGCCAAAAGTTTAGGCTCATAAATTACAAAAATCGCAAATAATACGGAAAAAACATTTATAAAGTAAAAAATACTTTTCTAGGAGTAAAAATAAGACTCCTACTATCATTTGAGTATCTTACATCTAGATTTACTATGCGTTAGGCGTAGATATTCAAGTATTTCAAATTTCATGCACTTTTGTCTAAGATTGTACGTGTGATACATCCTTAAGTAATTTAATTGAACGCGACCCCCCTCCCTCCGAGGAAGAACGAGGATTAATGAATTGATTTATCACAATAACAATTCAAATTCTCTATTAGTTGACAGATTCTATCAGTTCGCTCGTATGGAGTATAACGAGTGAGAAGGCGAAGGAACTGATGAAAGTCTCGGAGGAGGAGTTTGTCGACAGAATAAACGAGGCGTTGTGGCGGACCTATCCGAAGAGCAGCATCGTCGAGACCGGGATGTATGGATTCCACTGGCTGCTCTCGAGACTCGCCTTGAAGACCAACGCGTCCAGGCAAATGCCGCCCTCCGTGGCAGCGATCGTCGAGGGATCACGGGCAGCGTTTCCCTTGGGTTTCGGCCATGCCTCATCTTACGTCCAGCCAGGCACGGTGTTGGTTGGGTAAGAAAATTTCTGATTTTAAGAATTATATCGGTTGATGGAAATCTGAACAAAAATCTGAAATAAATCTCAACGTTAATCGTCACAAGAAATATTCTATTCGTCATCACAATTTGTCTTTAAAGCGAAATTGTTATATTGAGATTTTATTAGAAACAATTTATCGTATAATACAACAAATTTAATACATTAATATTCTTTTAATCTTTCATTAATCTTCGTGTTTTAAAGGGACGCTGCGCATCGAGTTCATCCCTTGGCGGGTCAAGGTGTGAATTTAGGTTTCGGCGACGTGACGGAGCTGACGCAGATTCTCGCCGAGGCCGTCGTGAACGGCAGTCATCTCAGTGATATCCACTATTTGCGAAAGTATGAGACATCCAGGCAACGTCACAACGTACCAATGATGTTCGCCATCGATGGACTCTGTCGGTTCTATCAATACACCACAGCACCCGTTGTTCTTGGTAGAAGCCTGGGATTGCAACTAGTGGATGCTGTGCCACCATTCAAGGTAACGCATTAATAAATACATATTTTTGAAGAAAGAAGCATTATTTTTTGTTCCACATTAACCGAAATACGATTTTTCCTTTTAGAGACTGTTGATGCAACAAGCTGCGGGAAATAATATTTTTAAAAAATGCTAGTTAATAGTGAGATTACAATGTAAATAGAAATATTGTGACATTACGCTAATTAAGAATATTTTGGAATGTGAAGGATGGTTTGTAATTTACTCTCTGTATTCCATACATATATTATAAATTGAAATATTACAAGGCTATGGATGTGATTAACATTAAATATTAAAATTTGTATATATAATTATTATTATTCTTTTGTTATTTTACTCTTATGTTTTGTCTCTCTTGTTATTGTATTTACATTATTACATATATCATCGCATTTTGTAATGCATTTTTAAATTTTTAATAAAAATTTAATGACAGCTGAATTTTTTTCAAATATATTTATATTATATCTTTTTTCTAGGTAAAACATTTCATTAAATTATATATCAGAATAAAATATCAAATATTTTACAATTTATTTTTTTTTTTATATGAATATTATCTATATTATTTATTTTTTCTACGTAAAAAATGTAAATATTTTCTATACTGACTCGAGCCTGCAGGCAACATGTTGCATGCCGTTCTGTTGGTCAGTGCAACACAGTTCATTTCAATGGATAATTAGTAACTTGATTAGTATGTTCAATGAATTGATTAACTATCAAAATTTCCATCGAAATAACAGCTTTTTAGAGAAACAATCTTTCATGGTATTCTGTTTTGTTAAACGGAAGAATTTACGATATCTATCAAGATATAATTTTTCAATTAATTTCTGATTATGTATACATCTACATGTATACAATACATATACATATTATATGAATTGCAGGATCGAGGTATATGACAACATGAATACGATCTTAAACGCGTTATTGGCCTATTACCCAGAAGGTTGAAAACGGGGAAGCTAATTGTATCCGTTGCACTAAATTGACGGATACGTGGAATATTCATTTTAATCGCCTATTTTTTTATTTTCTATCTATTTAGAATGAAGCAGGAGTGTATCTGACAATGAGCATTAAAAGGAGAAAAGACAAAGAAATTAGAGCTAGAAAATATAATTAAAGTAAATCAATCTCGCAGTGTATGACAGTTATTTGATTTACTATACAAAACCTAATTCGAATATGTTTATGTGCGAAGAATCACATTCACTCTTTGACGTTCTAATAAATTAAGATGTGTTTCCAAACAAAAGAAAGTAGATATAAGTGAAAAGCAATACTGTTGTGCTAGTTTAGATATAAAGATCTATTATCGTAAGTTATTTGAAAAGGCTTTAACGTGATGACTCTCCCAAAATAGATATTCCAAGATCTAATACTGAAGATCAGCGCTTTCTTACGAAACCAGGTATAATATTTCAATTATTTAAATAGCTAAGCATAATATAAAAATTTTAAATATATTTACTTACTTTTTTCTTTAAAAAAATTGAATAAAGAATGTTTGTGAAATTCGTATCGACGTTTGAAAGACGAAACTGCTGCACATATTCTTACAAGGGGACCCAACCTTCGACCCCTTAAATTTTGCTAAAATTTTAATATGTTACAGTACATTCCATTCACTAATACAAGATACAGTAACTCTGTCTAATGTGCAATAGTTTATAAAATATTAATATTGAATTTTTTTTATGTCACACGTGCATGGAAAGTGGCCCATTACGCACGCGACGCGTGCGTGATAGACCACTTTCCACGCACTTGCAACATAAAATAGGGTGTGTAATACGTGTGTTAAGTTGAAAATTGGATGTGCGGGTGATCGCACTCGCCTCCGGCTCGTGCGTCCACTCCGCACGTCCAATTTCCATCTTTGCACTTTGTTACACAAATAACTATTTCGATATCATAATATATATAATAAATAAACCAGGCTTGTGCAAAGAAGTTGCATTTATAAAGCACGCACTTGGAACAAATTAATAATGTGTTTTAAATGTTTCTCTAATTATAGATATCATAAAAAACCGTGTACATATTCTACCATATTTTTGATAGCTATAGTGAACAAATTAAAAGTTCCGACACCGAAGACTACTTATTGTTAGTCATGTAATATATTTTTGTTTATTGTGATGTATTTCTTTGCAATGCCATTATAAAATTCTATTTTTATTATTTATATTATTGTTTAAAGTTTGCTAATTTTTTGGACAATTTTTCTTGATCCCTTAATTATTTGGTAAAGTGTATTTAATTATCTATATAGTTTGTATATATAAAAAGGGTGTTACATTCTTTTTGTCAGGAAAATATTGATACAAGTAGTCCATCCAACCCTGGCGGAAAAAAATCTATGAGAAGGTATGTCATTCTGACAACAAATTATGACTGTCTACAATAAAGTATCCGAAATTTACAACTCACTCATATTTTAACAAGTTGTAGTTTTCTTGTAGAAAATTTATACAACTATCTAAAATAAGCTATAACCTTCTACGAGAAAAAAATAGTTGCAGTTTCTCATTTAAATTACAAGTATCTATGCTAATTAAACTACTCGTTTCTATGTAGTATAGTTCGGACATAAAAATAGGAAACGAAAAGATGGACGGAGTCATTTGTTGTAACTTTTCATAGAAATTATAAGTTTCTAAAAAAAGTACGACGTTTAACAACTATTTCTGACTTTGACCAAAAATAGAAACATGTAAGGCAAGATATTCGTAAATTTTTATAGAAGCTACTAGTCTAGGATCCGGCCGCGTGATTTATACGTTTATTTGTTATTTTATCAAAATGCGATTTTAATAGAAGATTACATATCAGGTCATACATCGCGGCCGGTGTGCCTAGCAAAATCTTGCCGCAAGTACCCTCAATTAGAGCTGTTTTAATTAAATTTTTTTAATGTCGTAATTCATCGTTTTCTTACAGTGCCAGGGTCTTCTTTCCCCGCTAATTTTTCCAAGCCCGTTCCCTTGGCAGTGGTTTCGCTAGATAGTAGATAGGGACGAGTGGGAATCTCGTTAATCCATTCATGCGCGTCACTAATTAGATGACGAGGCATTTGGCTATTTGTTTCGTTTAAGGCAAAACGACCGCAATCATGCACGATCATTCTGAACCTATAACGATATTGCAAGGCGATTTACTGTCGGTGTTCGCAGCTAACACCCTGGAAGTGCTTGAAAGGAGTTGTCTAGCAGCTCTCACTCTACTAATCATGCACACTCACATTCTCACTCGTCCGCTGATGCGGAGGCACCCAACTCTACGTGCCACCCCGACGTGCACCACTAATCGCGGTTACGTTCCGCCCCGGCACATAACGGGTTGTTATACCGTTAAACCTCTTCCAATTTAGCCATGAGCCCCAGAGGACACGAGTCGTGAGCGTACGTAGTTGGGCAGGCGTTAGGCCCAGACTACGCAGCTCACCCTCGCTCCTAGGGCTCCAGACACCTCGCCATGAGATCGTAATGGCGGTAAAACGGACATTATCACGCGGCACCCCTGTGCGCTCCGCCACCCGGTCCACTAGATCATTACAGGATCGGTACTTCTCCACCTTGCGCTCATGTGACACCTCTAACGCAGTTTCGCTGGAAATTACTTGCGCGTCTACGACCTGCCTCATCACCCTTAGCAATGGTCAGGTCGGGCCGCCTCAGGCCGGCAGAGGTCGAGTAGGCTAACTCCGCATCGACATGCCATCCTTTCTGCTGAAAGAAGCCACCGACTCGACGACAAAGGTCGTTATGCCGTAGGATTCTTTCTCCGTGCGTTCTGAAGCAACGCTGAACGCAGTGCGCCGATGTCTCGATATCGGGACAACCAGCACGACAGCGAACCTCGCGCTCATCACGACCTCGGGAGACTCTCGCTCTAGACGGAATACAGTTGGCCCGTATGTGATGATAGTGCACGTAGTCGGCTCCGGGGATGAGGTCGGCTCCCGCCGACACCCAATACGAACTCAGCTTCGACGTTTCCGCCTCCCTAAGCCCGTTCCCTTCGCACGACTCGCGCAACCAGGCTGCACACTGTTGTCTGAGCTCAGCGGTCGTAAGCACCCTGTTGCCCCGGGTGCGCATTTGGTTCTCACACCAAACCAGCCGCCTAGCCACAAATGTGGTTTCGGCGGCGGCGCGCGCCGCGGGCAGAGTGCTGCGACACAACCGCTGCAATCGGTCAAACTTCAGAATAAGAATTAAAGTCTTAAGTAGAGGCAAACCAAGCCCGCCACTCTGTATCGGCGCATGAAAATATCCAGCAGGAACATCATGGGGAAATCGCAACCATCGTCTAATGGCCGTGCGTACCATAATATCAACGCTCCTCAACGTTTTGGCCGTGACGGTTCCCACTATCCAACGGTGATAATACCGTGGCAGAAGAAAGTCACGTAAGAGCCTCAGTCGCTGTTGCGGCTTCAAAGGCGCCTTAGTGAGTAGCTGGATGGAATGAGCTAGGGGCGGATTATTAGCAAATTCCCTAGCACCTTCAAACATGCAGCCCAGGTACGCCCAAATATCGACAGGGGATCTTTGCGGAATCAGCGCTCCCCCCACGGTGAAGTACGGTGTTGTGTCAATCTTCACCTTTTTGTCTTTACCGGACGCCACCATGGACAGCACACCTGTTTTTTTTGCGTTAATATTTAGTCCATTGCGCGCAAAAGCAGCCTGAAGCCGTGTCAAGTTCTCCTGCAGACCGGACCTGGTAGAGGCAAGGAGCACAATGTCGTCTGCGTAGCCCAAGGCGCTGATCAGCTCGTCTCCCAACTAATAGCCAACATCCTCCGAGAGAATTGCTAGTGCTCTATCCACGACCAGATTGAACAGTAACGGCGATAACGGATCACCCTGTCTCACGCCACGGCCGATCTTGATGGCCGATACATTACCGGTGACGGATCCTATTACCGTTTGCGCATCCGAATAGACGGCCCTGATATACTCCCTAAACTCCCAAGGGAGCTCCAGCTCTTCGAGAGTCCTATGTATGGCTGGGTGCGAGACCGTGTCAAATGCCTTCGACAGGTCAACGCACACCAGATGTAGTGTCCGACACCGCCTCCGGGCATCACCGAGCACGGCGGACAGGACTGTGACGTTCTCACACACCCCATCCATCGGCCGAAAACCCCTTTGGCGAGTGTCGAACACGTCCAGGGCCGCTAAACGT